GCTTTGACGTGGCTCTGGAGCGTCCACAGTCCATGCCACTGGGAACACTGAATGCTGGCCGCCAGCCACCACCCGCTGCTCAAGGCATTTCTCAGCCCTTTCTCCCACCCATCGTGTCATCTTGTTGTCATCATCCTGGCTCCATAATCCACCCACCCCCAACTCTAGCTCCCAGTTCTACAGCAGGCCCTCCTAGCTGGGACAAGCAATTTAGGAAAGTTCTTTGGCTGGACTCTAGCACCCTGCCAGACATGATTTCGTGTTTGTCCTGGGGCTCCACGAAGGGCATCACCATGGAGTAGGTGCAGCCTCACCCTTTGCCCAAAACCCAGCACTTATCCTCCATCACATGCCTGTCTGTTCCTCCTGAGCCCACCCAGGGGAGGGGATCATTCACCCAGATCACACGCCCGGTATGAAAATATAAGGCGACCTCCCTTAGCTTTATCACCCATCTCTCCAAATTGCTCCTCTTATAGCTCTTCGGTAGAATAATCTATTTTCAACACTATTTGGACTTTTAGCTCCCAAAGCAAAAGAGGCCAAATTAGGCTCCGTTTCCTTAATGTTTTCGATACCTTTATTTTCCTTTCAACCACTGTCCTTCTCAGGGGAGAAATTATTCTCTCCTCAGTTAAGGAAGCAATTAAAATTCCAGAATGGGTCTACGGCCACACCACCCTGAACAAGCCCGATCTTTTCTGATCTCGGAAGCTAAGCAGGATCGGGCCTGGTTAGTACTCGGGTGGGAGACCAGTTAGGAAGACCAGGTGCTGTAGGCGTAAAAAATAAAAAATAAGGGATTATAAACTGACAAGGTCCTTGCAATCTGTGAGGTCAACCAAGGGTTGCCTCATCTAAAAAAGTAATAATAATAATAATAATTAATTAATTAAATTTAATTCCGGGATGGAGTTGCCCCACTACACAAGCTTTGGGGCCAACATCTCCCTCCCCTTGGCTTCTCCCAGGGCCCTGGCCTCTCTTCACAAAAGCTCTTGCCCCAAGTGGAGCCTCTTTTAAGGCTCCTAGAGTAGAGATGCACACCCAATTCTGGGCTTCTCCTGCCACCCCGAGGCCATATCTGAAAACTACATATGGTCTCTAGTCCCTGAAAAATTGTATTGCCTCTTTTTTTTTTGAGATATCATTGACATATAATATTTTATTTGTTTCAGCTGTACAACATAATTAGATATTTATATAAATTGCAAAATGTTCTACAGTAAGCCCATAATACGTCTAGTTAACCTGTGTTATTTTATACTCCATGACTTTTGTTTTCATTTTTTAGATTCTACACGTAAGTGAGATCATGTGGAATTTGTCCTTCTCCAACTGACTTATCTCACTGAGCATAATGAACGTGGATGGTCCTTGAAGGCTTTGGGTTGTTTCGTTTTTTTACGATTAGAAGTTACTATCTCTACCTGTTAATCCCCCACTTGTTCCCCAAGCCTCATTTAATGCTTGTTCCCTCCAGGAGGGCTCCCCCTGAATCCACTCCTACCCCAGGTTGGATGAGGTCCCCGCCATGGGGCTTCCACAGCTCCGATGCCCATCTCTAGCATTTCCCTCCCAACTCTGTATCAGAGACATTGGCTTCCCCATCTCCTTGACTAGGTGGTAATCTCTTTGAAGACAAACTTGTCATCTGTGTGTTTCCAAGGCTGGGCACAGAAAAGTCTTTAAAATATATGTGGAAGGAAGGGAGAGAGGGAGGGAAGAAGGGAGGAGGGACAGAGATGACTCTGGTAATAATATATGAGGACAACCTCCCGTACTTACTGAGCACTCACGGTGTGCAGGCACTGTGCTTTATATCATGTATCCCAGGCTATCAGGACTAATACCCACCTCAGGGGTCCCAACCTCATCCAGCAACTGAAGGGTTAATGGTTGGTCTACCAGGGGCCTCCCAGACCCTGGTCCTGCACGTCTATCACTCATGGCCAACATATGTTCCCATTTGTAAAATGAGACTCCATGAGGCTGATGTGAGCACTGGCTGTCAGAAAGCTTTGCATGCAGTACCAGCGTGAGGTCTCTACTGGCTCATCCTGAACACACTGTGCAGAGGGGGGAAGTCCAGACACATGGGAGCTCCAGCCCCAGGACAGCTAGCCAGACGATGCTGGTCCAAAGCTAATGTGCACCTCGGAGTCAGGCTCGCTCAACTCTCCTGGGACTGTCACTGATGTTCTGATGAAGGTCAGGTCGATCCAAACCCACTGCTAAGCCTAAAATGGTGGGGGCCGAGGTGGGAAAGGGTCCCCTGACAAGATCCAGGGTCTCCCAGGACTCGGTCCTCAGCATCTACCACATGGCATTGCCATGCGAAGTCAAATATAGAGTGTCTCCAGTCTAAAGGTGACGGGACCTGAGCTTGACCTGTGGGCTTTTGGTATCAGTTTCTTTGAGGAAGGCACAGTGGTTCTGGGTGGTGGTGTCAGCCACGTAGGGTGGA